TTTAGCATGGGTTGGGGTGAAAGAGTGAGCAAATGTGCGAGTAATCAATAAACGTAATTTAGTTACTCCCAAATAACTGCATTTTGAAAAACATATGTGGCAATGGAATCCAATATTTCTTTTCGGAAAATTAATTTGTCTCAGGCCATAGAGAGTTAATTGCATAATAGACAAGGTACACCAGACCTACTCCTGGTCACAGATAAATGCTGGAAGAGAAGCTCTGGCTTTGGCAAGACACTCTCCTGTGCCTTCTACAAAGAGAGCCATGTGAAGGGGAGGATCCAGACTGCAGTCAAACACCGGTCACAGTAGTAAGACCTGACCTGCCTGCCTGCTGTGTTTGCCTAGGTGTTTGGTGTGGGAGAGCCTATGTCATGCGTGTTGCCCGTGAAGAATATTTTCTCTTGTGTTGCATGTGACATTATCTTTGAGAATCTACTTACGTTCAGGATCACTGGTTTCCTGCTCACTCTGCTCCTTGTTCTTGTAGAATGGGAATTTTCGTGAAAAGATGAAGCTCTTTTTACGCTTGTCATTGAATGACTGTGAAGGAGAAAAGGCATGGGGCAAAAACAGGGGACGTCTAATTGTTGTCACACTCATGCTGACAAAACAACTAGTTTGTAAAAGCAGAGAGAGCTGTAGTGACGCAAGTGGATGGATACTCTAATGAGGTGCCAGAGGGTCCTAAGGGCAGATTTTATTTTCAAGGAGTGCAGATTCTGAATGACAACACCTTGGAAAAATTGTCTCCTATTCAAAAAACTCGTTACAGACAAATGGTGACAGAGGACAAGAGTCTTAAGTTGGAAGCAGAAGACCCGAAGTCTTTGTCCTGGCTCTCCATCTTGCCATTCCATCTGTCCGTTTGGACAGGTAACTGAATCTGGGTGAACCTCAGTATCTATTGGGTCATTGGAAAAGTAATAGCATAGTTTTCTGTGTTTTTTTTTCTATGTGAAGATGCATCATGACTTTCCTGATGACCCAATCTATTTGCAAGATGAGGATAACTGAGGGCAGCCTTGGATTGTGAGACTCACATAAAATGATATAAAGTCCTCTACAAATGTCATCTTTTTCTGGTAGAAGAGTAAGTAATAGGGTTTCTTCTCAGTGTTTAGATGTCTTTTCAAATAATTTGATTTTGAGTTACTTAGCTTAGATTTAATTAAAACAGAGAAGTGTGTAGATTTATGATGTATGATCATTGTATTCTCACAGACACATGGCAACTACAGTATAACATTTTTATTCATAAAACATGTTAAAAATAATTTAGCTCATTGTCCATATTTTGAAGACAGGAAGCTAAAGGCACAGAGAGGTGGAAGGTCATGCCAGTATTATAATGCTCATTGGTTCAACCAGGACATAGCTGACCAAAATCTTGTACAATTGCTGCAAGTGAGCAATTGATAATTTACTCAAGAAGGGAGTAGAAACAAATGAAAGAGTGACTGCCTTTAAAAAATGTAAGTCACTCCATTAACTTAAATCAGGCCAGATTAAAAATAATACACATATATTTAGTGTAATCCAGATATTAGAACTTATTCACTCAAGTAAATATCATGTGTTTGCCTAGAGTACTTCCTTAAAACCCACCAAATTCCATTTATCCCACTGTTGCAGTTATTATGTAAAGGCTTTGTGAGTTTCTCCTTTGGGAAATACGTTCACAACCATTTTACAAAGCTATAGGCTACGCGTGTCTTATTAATTTCTATTTGCATACCATTTGAAAAGTTTCACTAGCTTGATTACCATCCTTAACTGATTTACCTCCAAGAATCATTTAGCTATTTTAAAAAATATAGTCACTGTCCAAGGAAGAAGATTTGTTACCACAGAGGTATTAAAATGAATGTGCCAAAGACCTTGAACACAATCTGAAAAGGGATATTCTAAAAGTTTTAGCAATGGCAGCTGGGAGGAATAAATGTGCAGCTGGTGACGTGGCCACTTGGAAGGTAAGAGGACCTGTTTGGATACATGTACTTGGTCTTATTGGTGGGATATCAGTCACGTGCCCTCATTGATAGGAAACCTGACAGAGTGGTGTAAATAACCTACTTGACTTTATACTCTCATGCACTCCTATGTCAAAATAATCGTGTGTTCATTTAGGAAACAGTAAAATACTGACATATTGGTGCTGTCCTTTTGGAGGTATTTCCATTACCTTTTGAGTTCATAGGAACTTTCACCAAAAATCAGTGGAGCTTAATTTTATGTCCCATCAAGAAGGCTTTAGGAAAAAATGATAAATATTCAATAATTTATGAAGTTGGGGAACAATTTTGTTTACTTCACGTTCACAGGTACTAACAACACATTCTCAAGGGGGAAAAAAACCCAACTATCACTTGAGAACTTATTCTGATGACAGCACCTAATAGGATTCAATAGTTTTATCAGAATTCGTAATTGAGAATTAGTGTTCAAAGACAAAGCTGGGAATTGCTCCCAAATTTTCCCAGTTAAAAATGGCAACTCCTTAAAGGAACATTAAATATTCTTGCATCACTCCAGTTTCATGCCACTTTTACATTTCAAGCATATTTAAATGTCAGTAACTGAAAACAAAAGAAAAAAAATTATGTAAGAATTAATGGCATGTAAAATTGCAAGGTATGTTAGACAATATAACTTTAACAATACAGATGACTTGTCATGCAAAAAAAATTTACAAATTTCCATGCAAATACAAAACAAGGCCAAGAGGAGTAAAGCCTGAGAGAAAACATAGACACAGATAGACAACGTAAGAGGCTTTTGAGGGCTAAAATGAGACTGCATGCAACCACATTATTTAAATTGTCTCAAGCGTCAAAGGAAAATGAAAATGTGTTGTCTGTAATTCCTTTATGTTTCAAAGCAAGGGATGTAATATGTGAACACTTCCCAAGTATGAGAATAGAGTGTATCATGAGTTATCTGGGACATGATAATACTGAGCACCATGCTTTTTCTAACAACAGAAATATGTAATAATACCTCAGATATAATCTACCAAATCAGTCTTATTATGCAGAGTCATTTGTATTGTAATTAAAGAGAAGGTAATAGAATCACTGGTGGTTATGCTTCCTTACAAAACCAAATCAAAGTTGCAGTTCACATTCACAGATTGCAAAGTCACATTTTGGGTCCTGGCTAAACATTTCCACTATAAGGGGTTATATGTGGTTTGTAATACTCCAACGTCATTCATTTTTTATTTGACATGTTAATATAAGTTTTGCTGTTGCATTTTTTCTCTTAATACAGAAGAGGAAAATCTGTTACATGAGTGTGAGGTGAGAATAATAAATGATCATTTTCACTATTTATAGAACACATGGCTCAATGGTTCTGAAGTAACTGAAGGTAGTTTTACAGCTCTTAATCATAGTTGATCAGTGTTGTTCTTTCTCTCTCTACAGTACTGTAACTTAAATCTCAATCCTCTGCTTTTATGGCAGGAAAAGTTCTTGATTAGGGACTTTGAAAAACACCAATCAAAAGTAGCAAGAGGTAAGTTGATGTATCTAAGAATTCCATTTTGCAATTTGACTTGAATTGCTCAATTATAATAAAAAGTAATAAAAGAACAACATAGATTTATTGAACACTTCTTAAGTGTCAGGTTTGGTTGTAAAAGCTCTGCATGTATTAAGCTTCTTATTAACTTTATGAGGTTGGTACCATCATTATTCCATATTACAGATGAGGAAACCGAGGTTTATAAATATTTTGTTCCTTGCCCAGAACCATGAAATTAGTGAGTTGAGCAGTGAAGTCAGAAATTAAACTTGCATATATCCCTGGTAGCAAACATTGCTGTTTTAATGAACATGAAAGCCTGCTTTAAACTTATATGCAAAATGATTAGCATTTGACTTTTGTAAGTGACACCACAACCTGTACTTACTGCAGTCACTGCTTACTTATTAACGTAATCAAATGCTATTGGCTTCAGCAACATCTTTAGTTATCCTGCTATGGTTTCTGTGATAGCCATTCATGTTGAAAGGCTCTGTTCCATTTTTCTTTTTCTTATGATAACATAGAAAAATAAAGAGTTTCAGTGGGACAGGCCATGAATGGTAATTAAAAGGTAATTGCTCACAACAGGCAACTCTACAGAGACAAAGTAGATTAGTGGCTGCTCAAAGGCTAGGGGTAAAGAATGCCTAGTGGGAAGTTACAGCTAATGGGATTTCTTTTAGGGAAGAGGAACATTTTCTAAAATTAGATTCTGGTGATGGTTACATAACCCAATGAATATATTATAAACATTGAATTATACACTTTAAGTGGATAAATTGTATAGTATATGAGTTAAATCTCAACAAAGTCATTAACAAGAAAAAAGAATTCTTTCCCAATTCCACACAATGAGATAAGAGGAAACAATTATAGTACATTTCTATTTTGTGTAAAAATTTTACCTTTAATTGAATGACAGGAAACACCCTTTTCCCTGACCTTTGCAATCAATCAAACATACGTGTCTTTGGTTTATCTAATTCCGTTATCTTTCTATGGAATGAATACCCTTCATGTTGTGACAGACATTAGAACACCCATACCAGGAGCTGGTATAGTATCACTGTCTCTTGGAAATCTCCAAATGTCATGCAGTTGCCCAGCCTGACTGCAAGCTGTAATGGTATTATGAACTGGCTCAAGCTATTTATACATGCTTCATGAAGAAAGGAAACATAATGCAAAACTCAGATTACTCCTCTGCCCACTCAGATCCCATCTTCTTAAAGACACATGAGTGAATTTTGATGTATTTTTATCCTTCGGATCCAGAAAACTTTAAAACCAGGACTGTGTTTTAGTTTTTCTCATCTTCCTGCTCTAATTTCTCAAGCTTTAAATGTTTCATAGTTCTAAAATGTCACCTTCGTGAGATGAATGTTCTCTGAGCAGAATTTAGATTTAAATTTATGTGGAGCTCAGACACACCTTTTCTGTGGCCTCCTTCTCTTTTAGAAATACTTTTCTCTTAATTCATTCTTGTCTCTGTTCTTCTAAAATAACTGTGCTTGCCTGGGAAAGTTGTTACTATAAATCTGGGTCACCACTTTGTCTTATACATATCTTGATTTCACATGCAAATTTTTTTTTACAACAAGAGAAGTTCAAGAACAAATAATAATGAGATAAGGGATAAGGGAGTTGGCTTAATATATACCTGTTCCTAGACATGTGTTTACATGAACACATGTGTACACATGTGTCTACAGCACTGATGAGTCAAAAATGATTCTTTCCCAATACTATTGAATTAATGGATTAAGTATTGAACATCAGCAGCTGCTAACATCACAAAAAAAGACAATCATCTGTAGATACCTCCTCAGGGAAGAACAAAATTTTACTCTAAAAGTAGTTCTGCAAATCTCTACTAATGGTGGCATGTGAAAAGGACCCTGAAGCCAATTTAAAGGGGAATCTACTGACCAAACCTGGATAATTTGAATATTAAAACAAATAATGATAGTAATGGGACACTGAATTAAAAAAAGAAACTCAGGGCCAACATG